CATTATACGGATTGAAGCAAGCTCCACGTGCTTGGTATAGCAAGATTGATTCACATTTCCAGAAATTGGGTTTTGAGCGAAGCAAAAATGAGCCCAGCCTATATGTCAAACGTAAGGGAGACAAAGATCTATGGTTGTGTGTTTGTATGTTGATGACATGATTTATTTTGGTACTAATGATGCAATGGTTAAAGAGTTCAAGGAGCAAATGATGTCAATCTTTGAGATGACAGATCTGGGAGAGTTGCATTACTTCCTAGGGCTGGAAGTTGAACAAGAGAATGGAAAAATCTTTATTTCTCAGCGGAAGTATGCCAATGATTTGGTCGCCAAGTTCGGGTTAAAGGGTTGTAATGCTGTACAAACCCCTATGAATACAAACGAGAAGTTGACAGCAAATGATGGAAGTGGAGCAGCAAATGTGACTCAATTCAGAAGTCTAATAGGTGGCTTGATGTACTTGACGCACACAAGGCCAGATGTCGCACATGCAGTTGGGTTAGTTGCAAGGTTTATGCAAAATCCAACTAAACAACACATGGGAGCAGCAAAGAGAATTCTTCGCTACATTGCAGCAACATCAAGTTATGGGTTATGGTACAACACAAGTGATGAACCTCGTTTGCTGGGTTTCAGCGATAGCGATTGGGCAGGCAGTGTAGATGATCGTAAGAGCACAACAGGTTCTTTCTGCTCCACATTTAACTCTTGCAACAAACGTCTTAACCAAACACCTTGACACGCTGCTGATGTTACTGCATTGTACTCAGCTTCTGCGGTAGATAATGCAACTGTCGGGTGTTTCTTTGAGTTCCAGCTGATCACACTGTTTCCGAAAAAGAACACATGACCTGTTGTGCTCTTACGATCATCTACACTGCCTGCCCAATCGCTATCGCTGAAACCCAGCAAACGAGGTTCATCACTTGTGTTGTACCATAACCCATAACTTGATGTTGCTGCAATGTAGCGAAGAATTCTCTTTGCTGCTCCCATGTGTTGTTTAGTTGGATTTTGCATAAACCTTGCAACTAACCCAACTGCATGTGCGACATCTGGCCTTGTGTGCGTCAAGTACATCAAGCCACCTATTAGACTTCTGAATTGAGTCACATTTGCTGCTCCACTTCCATCATTTGCTGTCAACTTCTCGTTTGTATTCATAGGGGTTTGTACAGCATTACAACCCTTTAACCCGAACTTGGCGACCAAATCATTGGCATACTTCCGCTGAGAAATAAAGATTTTTCCATTCTCTTGTTCAACTTCCAGCCCTAGGAAGTAATGCAACTCTCCCAGATCTGTCATCTCAAAGATTGACATCATTTGCTCCTTGAACTCTTTAACCATTGCATCATTAGTACCAAAATAAATCATGTCATCAACATACAAACACACAACCATCAGATCTTTGTCTCCCTTACGTTTGACATATAGGCTGGGCTCATTTTTGCTTCGCTCAAAACCCAATTTTTGGAAATGTGAATCAATCTTGCTATACCAAGCACGTGGAGCTTGCTTCAATCCGTATAATGCTTTGAACAATCGATACACCCAATGTTCTTTGCCTTTCACCTTAAATCCTATGGGTTGCTCAACATAAACCTCTTCAAGTAATTCCCCATTGAGAAAAGCCGACTTCACATCAAACTGATAAACAAGTATCTTCATATAAGCTGCCAATGCCAATAGCAACCTTACTGTTTCAAACCTTGCAACCGGAGAGAATGTTTCCTCGTAATCTACTCCATACTCTTGAGCATAACCCTTCGCCACTAACCTTGCTTTATATTTCTGCACATTTCCATCTGCATCAAACTTTGTTCTGTAAACCTTAGAGTGAATCTTTCAGAGTTCATCGTTTAGACCAAGGTGAGGGAACTCGACAGAACTCCTCTTTCTTCTATTCGCTTAGACATGATGATAGTGAACATAGATATCATGCGGTTAGGATTTTAGGATAGACGCCTTAAATTTTCTTGTGAATTTATGATGCATGTTGATTGTTGATTGATGACTGATGAGTGATGATTGATGATTGATGATTGATGATTGATGACGATTGATGATTGATGAATAATGAATGAGGATTGATGATTGATAAATTTCTGTTGAGTGATTATTGTTTGTGACGTACATGTTAATGGCGGTGATCCGTATGTGATGGTATGATAACAACCCGGACATGGCTGCGATCCATGTGGAGTTATAACCCCGACTACGGCGGCGATCCGTAGAGGGTTACGACTAT